CTCCGCGCAAGCAGGGGCCCGCGGGCCGCGCCCGCGCCCCCGCTTGGCGGAGCGCCAGGGGCAGGTAATCAGGCGCGACCCGGGGACAAGGCGCCGGATTCGGGACTTGCTGCAGAGGTCGGCGGCGCGGCGTTTGCGGCGCTCGGGCCCCTCGCCGCGGCACGCTTCCGGCGCGAGGTCGCGGCGCCCGGGGACCTGGCGGACACGGTGCAAGCGTTGGGCCGCATCGCGCCGGAGGAATTGCTCCACGCGCGGGAGAAGCGCCACAGGGGTCATTCCCAGCACCCCCCAGGAACGCGCGGCCCATATCAGGCCCGAGATGGCAGGGTTCATGGCAACGAAGGAACTCCTCAGGCGCGAGTTCCTTGCGCGGCATCGCAGCGCATACAAGCATGCCTCTCCAGCGCGCTTGCGGGGGCAAGTGGCCCGGAACCTCGGGGTGGAACCCTGGCCCCCAGCGGAGCCTGCGCTGGAGGCGTTCGCTTTTGCAGTGCAGAACGGGGCCAGCCTGATGACGTACTGCACGCACATCCGCACTGTGCTCAGGCTGCTCCACATGCCGCTGGGGTGCTTGGAGGACACGGCATGCTTGGCGCGCGGGGCGAGCAAGGCAGCGGTGGTCACCCGGCGCTGCCAGGCGCGGGCTTCGGCGCGACAGACCCGATCCCTGGCGCAGCACGTCCGGGAGGCGCTGGGCGACCCAGCGACGGCGGATGCCTTCGCGGTGGCCAGGCAGTTCTGCTTCCGTTTCGCTTCCGAGCCGGTGCCCTTGCAAGCAGACGGGCCCCACTCCAAGGTGGCCCTGTCCACTGAAGGCGGCCTGCCGACGGCGAGCGTGCATCTGCATAGGCGCAAGACGTGCGCGGAGACAACGGACGTGTCCAGGCGGTGCATCTGCGCCCTGCAGCCACGGCAGCTTTGCGGAGCGCGCGCGCTTTATGGCCGCGTTCACAAAGGCCGGGCGTACCCGGCGATGTCCTACAGGCACGCCCTGCGAAGGGTTGCGGCGCTCGCGCTGGGGGCTCGAGCGAGCCGCAGAGTGGGGCGCACATGCCTTTCGCCGCGGCTGGGCCGACGAGCGCCTGGCCGCCAGGGGCGTCCCGGCGCTGTTCCACAGCGGGGGACGGCGCGGGACGGCCGTCTTCGGTCACGCCTCGGCATCGCGGAGCGCGGCGACCGCGGCGGAGCGGCTCGTCGAGTTCTCGGAGTCGTCTGTCCGCGGGGGCGCCCTTGCCCTGAGCCATCAAGAAAAGAACGGCTCTCGCGTTGGTCCGCTTCGCCTGCGCATAGGGCTGGCGCCTTCCATTCCGCCGTTCCCGGGCGCCCTCCGCGGCATCGCGCCCAGAGTCGCGGCAGGCGTAGGCTGCGGCCGCGTCGCCAGCAGCGGGGTTGTGGCCCGGGTCGCCGTGAGCCCCAGCACTGGGTTTCGAATTTTCTGCGAGGGTCTCTCGAGCGCCCCAGGCTGGCCGCACCGAGCGCGCTGCCCAAAGGTCCGCGCGGGCGCAGTGGACCACCCAGGGGGAAGGCAGCCCATTGGAATCCCCATCGCCCCTGAACGTGGTTCCTGGGGAGGAAGATCCCAGGCAGGCCACACCCTTTGTCGCCATGGCTGGGCTCGCAGACTCGTCGCTCCAGGTCGGCCCTCCTTCCCCCCGTGTCCGAGGCGGGGTATCAAGCGTCGGCATTCGCTGCCGAGGCAGTCTCGCTGACTCCCGCGGGGGTTCGCAGGGGCCCTCTGAGGCCCCCCTCTTCCGCTGCTCGCAGGCGGCGCCCTTGTGGCGCCAGGGGTCCCAGGGCCCCCGCGGCGGTTCGCAGCGGTTCTCTGAGGTGGCGCCTCGGTGCCGCCCGTGGTGCCCCAGGAGGGTGCTTGGCAGGACGTCGCGTCGTCTGAAGGCCGCGGGCTCGCTGCTGGCGTCGCCAACAGACATCTCTTCGTCGGCGCCCAGCTCGATGGCCGCAAGGCCATCGCCGGTGCAGAGAGAGACCCGCCCCGCCTCGGAGAAGTGACAGTTTGAGCGTCCACAGTCTATGACAAGCCTGAGCTTGCCATTCTTTTTGGTCGCGAAAAAAGTCCCCACTCGCTCGCCATCCTCGCGCGAAAAATTGAGCATGCCACGGGCGGCCAAAACCGACGTGAACTCTTCAGAAGCACGTGGGTCGCGCGACGTCCGCGGCGGGCAGCGGCGCGCCCTGGGCGCCCGGCAGCGCGCGCAACTCCGCCCCGGCCTCGGCGGCCCTCCGGAAGGCTGCGCGCCGACGCCCGCCTGCAGCGGCGCGCCCAGCCCCGAGCCGCGCTCGCCGGCAAGTCTCGACGGTCGGCGCGCCGCCGCGCGCCCGCGACCTCGGCCGACGCAGCGGACCAGTCCTCGGCGCGCACGTGCGAGTCGGGGGTCGCCACCGAGTGCAGCTGACCGCCCGAGCGTGCCACCGCGCCATGCGCCCTCCGCTGGTGCCAGAGCGGCGGGCCGTCCACGTTGTGCAAGACGCGGCCCCAGCTCATCCTCGCCCTCTTCCTTCTTGCTCTTCATCGCGGTCCACCCCTGCAGCGCCGCGCGTCTCGCGACGCGCAGGCGCGCCGCGAAGACGGCGCCGGCCGCGACCCCCAGCAAGAATGTCAGCGCGGCCCACGGCCCGAGCCCCGTCCCCGCGCAGAACTGCTCGGTCTCGCCGCGCCGCGGGGGCGCCCCCCCTCCAAAGACAGCCCCGGCAACGGGCCGGCGCGACGGGCGGCTCGGACAGACCGGCACCGCGCAATTCCCCGCGCTCGACCTGCGGGGAGGGCGGGCGCGCCGAGCTCGAGCGCGCAGAGATCGTCGGGCACCGGGCCGCGTAGTTCAACAACCCTTGGGCCGCGCACTCGGGGCCTGGCTCGAGCAGCCGCCCCCGCACCCACCGCGCCCGGGGAGGCGGCCCGAGCCTTTGGAGCTTGAGCCGCCGAGATTGCGGTGAAGACGACTTGGGTCGAGCGGCCGAAATCCGTCGAGACGCACCGTGTTCGCGTGTAAATACTGACCATGTTGATGATCATGATGCTGATTATGATGGTGACTAGGATGATGATGCTGATGGTGATGATGATCAGGATGATGCTGGCGACGACGATGATGATGAGGACGACGATGATGCTGATACTTATGATGCTGATTATGATGCTGCTGCTGACGACGACAATGATGATGAGGATGATGATGCTGATGATGCTGATGATCGGGCCATCACCTCTCGCGCACCAATCCACAACAACGACGACGACGACGACTATCACAACGACGGCGAATGGGGTGGAGGAGTCGGGCGGGAGCGAGGAGTTCAAGTCGCCTGAAGCGGGGGGGGGCGAGGGCAGGCGGGCACGACGCGAGAAGCGGGCAAGTGATGCCCCTCCGCGCGTCCCGTCTGAGCACCTACGGTGGGGCGACGAAATGTTGCAAGTTGCTCCTGGCCGCGTACGGCCGCGCCTACATTGCGACGCCACCTCGACAAAACGCCCCCGCCCCCTAAATTTCAATGTTGGCATCGAGCGAGCACCCCAAGTCCGGGAGGACAAAATTATGCAAGTCAACATTGAAATACGGGGGAAGGGGGGCTCCTCGGATATTGATGGAATATGATCAAAATTGTCATCTTGTTTCTCGGAACGATCATATAACTTGCGATATTTTGTCCGCCCACTGCGTTTGTCATCCCCCTGCAGGGCGAAGGCTGACGCGGAGGGCGGGGGACTCGGAGAACTGGGGGAAGGATGATGGCGAGGATGATCAAGGGTACAGGGTCGACGTTCGGTCGAAGGTCGACTGCCGAGCTTCGAACACCGGATCCGAGCCGCCACTGGACCGAAGGGTTCACGCCTCGCTGATGTCTGAGCTGGACCCAACTGGTTCGAGTTGGGCTGACCTGGACGCACCTGCGCAGGGCTGACCTGGACGGGACTGCCATATATTGAGCTCGGGGGGATTGGGCCGCGCAGACCTGAGCTGGGCTGCGCTGGGCTGCCTCCGCTGCGCAAGCAAAACAGAACAATATATATATATATATATATATATATATGTGTGTGTATGTTGGGCTTCGCCTTCGCCCGGCGAGCAGCGCCGAGCCCGCGTCGCGCCTGGCCCGCGCCAGGCCGATCGTGGGCCGCGACGAGGAGGGGCCGCGACGAGGAGATGCGCGGCCCTCGCTGCGATTCGCATCGCAAGCGCACCACATGGCTGCGCTGGGCACCTGCCCAGGCTTTTGTGCCGAAACGTTCGCCCGGCGCTGGCACGCGGCCGCGCAGCGGGGCAGGGCGCGCCAGGCGACGACGGGGTGGCGGGGCGCGCGCGGCGCCTGCATCTGGCCTATTTGAATACTCCCAGTACATTGGAATACTATTTGAATACCTATTTGAATACCTATTTGAATACCTATTGAAAACCTCAATTATATGGGGGGAACCGATTTGAAACTTGAAAATAGAAAGAAAGAAAATACATTCTTTTTTAACTCCACTATTCGCGCGTAGCAAATGCAAATCCCCATATATCTGCAGTTTTCATATAGGTATTCAAATAGGTATTCAAATAGGTATTCAAATAGCACTGGAGTTTTCAAATGAGGAAAATGCAAGCGCGGCGGGCGCGGGGCCGCCCTGTCGCCGCCCGCTGCTCTGAGCAGGCCACGCGCCAGCATCACCCAGGCAGAGCCTGCCGCGCCGAGCCCGCGCAAGTCCGCCGCGCGGCCCAGGGGCGGCCGCTCGCGCTCCAGGCGCAGCCCGAGCGCGGCCCTGGCGCCGGCCTGGAAATAGCTGACAGGAGGTCACCGTCACTCCGCACCAACTCATGCCCGTCGGGCGCCCACCGCGGATGAGCCGACAGGCCTCGGCTGAGCGCGCCAGCGCTTAGATGGGCAAAAGGGCCCTGCGACAGGATGTTTACTCAGGGAAGGCCATTGCGAGCGCGCGTCAAGATCGGCTGCCAGTCGGGAAAAATACAACTCAAGAAATTATACTCATATGGCTGGTGGGCGGCTGGCCCGAAGTCCCGGCGCCCCACCGCGGCGACTGGGCATGAACTTCGCATGTTCCCCGTGTCCTCGGCGGCGGGCCGCCGGCGGAAGGCCGCGTGTTCGCGGCGTCGGCAGCCGCGCGGGGCGCGCAGGGCATCGCTCCTCGAAGTCCTTCCCCTTTACGCGCTGGAGGGCCTTGCAGCGCCGGCCCATGGACTTCACCAGAGGAGTCAGGATGGCCTCGGGCACGCGCTGGAGAGCCCGCCTGAGGCGCGCCGCGAAATGGGCCCTGGCTTTCCTCTTACCAGGCGAGCAGGAGGGCCTCCTGCTGCTTGCGGAGGCGGCGGTTGACGCAACCCCAGAAGCCGCAATTAAACGGGCTGATGTCTGGCGAGCGCCTCGGAAAAGGCAGCGCCTCGATGGAATTGTCGAACTTTGTCTGCGCTGCGCTCCTGCGCCCCGAAGGAGTCGCTGCCCCCCAAAACCGGGAAGCGCTTCTTGCTGGAGTACGCCCGGCGCAGCGCTGGCGACAAGGACTTCGAGCGCTGGGAACTGGGGCTGACGAGGTGCATGATTGTTAGATGCCGTGCACTTCGAGTCATAGAAAAGTCTGTGCTTCCATCGGTGGGGCGACGAAATGTTGCAAGTTGCTCCTGGCCGCGTACGGCCGCGCCTACATTGCGACGCCACCTCGACAAAACGCCCCCGCCCCCTAAATTTCAATGTTGGCATCGAGCGAGCACCCCAAGTCCGGGAGGACAAAATTATGCAAGTCAACATTGAAATACGGGGGAAGGGGGGCTCCTCGGATATTGATGGAATATGATCAAAATTGTCATCTTGTTTCTCGGAACGATCATATAACTTGCGATATTTTGTCCGCCCACTGCGTTTGTCATCCCCCTGCAGGGCGAAGGCTGACGCGGAGGGCGGGGGACTCGGAGAACTGGGGGAAGGATGATGGCGAGGATGATCAAGGGTACAGGGTCGACGTTCGGTCGAAGGTCGACTGCCGAGCTTCGAACACCGGAGCCGAGCCGCCACTGGACCGAAGGGTTCGCGCCTCGCTGATGTCTGAGCTGGACCCAACTGGTTCGAGTTGGGCTGACCTGGACGCACCTGCGCAGGGCTGACCTGGACGGGACTGCCATATATTGAGCTCGGGGGGATTGGGCCGCGCAGACCTGAGCTGGGCTGCGCTGGGCTGCCTCCGCTGCGCAAGCAAAACAGAACTATATATATATATATATATATATATGTGTGTATGTTGGGCTTCGCCTTCGCCCGGCGAGCAGCGCCGAGCCCGCGTCGCGCCTGGCCCGCGCCAGGCCGATCGCGGGCCGCGACGAGGACATGCGCGGCCCTCGCTGCGATCGCATCGCCAGGCGCACCCATGGCTGCGCTGGGCACTGCCCAGGCTTTGTGCCGAACGTCGCCCGGCGCTGGCACGCGGCCGCGCAGCGGGGCAGGGCGCGCCAGGCGACGACGGGGTGGCGGGGCGCGCGCGGCGCCTGCATCTGGCTTATTTGAATACTCCCAGTACATTGGAATACTATTTGAATACTTATTTGAATACTTATTTGAATACCTATTTGAAAAACCTCACTTATATGGGGGAACCTATTTTAAACTTGAAAATAGAAAGAAAGAACATACATTCTTTTTAACTCCACTATTCGCGCGTAGCAAATGCAAATCCCTATATAGCTGCAGTTTTCATATAGGTATTCAAATAGGTATTCAAATAGGTATTCAAATAGCACTGGAGTTTTCAAAAGAGGAAAATGCAAGCGCGGCGGGCGCGGGGCCGCCCTGTCGCCGCCCGCTGCTCTGAGCAGGCCACGCGCCAGCATCGCCCAGGCAGAGCCTGCCGCGCCGAGCCCGCGCAAGTCCGCCGCGCGGCCCAGGGGCGGCCGCTCGCGCTCCAGGCGCAGCCCGAGCGCGGCCCTGGCGCCGGCCTGGAAATAGCTGACAGGAGGTCACCGTCACTCCGCACCAACTCATGCCCGTCGGGCGCCCACCGCGGATGAGCCGACAGGCCTCGGCTGAGCACGCCAGCGCTTAGATGGGCAAAAGGGCCTTGCGACAGGATGTTTACTCAGGGAAGGCCATTGCCGGGCGCGCGTCAAAAATCGGGCTGCCCAGTCGGAAAAAAATACAAACTCAAGAAATTACAATCAAACGGCTGGTGGGCGCTGGCCCGAAGTCCAGCGCCCCATGGCACGAACCTGGGCATGAACTTCGGCGTGTTCCCCGTGTCCTCGCGCCGGGCCCCCAGCGGAATGGCCGCGTGTTCGCGGCGTCGGCAGCCCGCGCTGGGGCGCGCAGGCATCGCTCCTCGAACAGTCCTCTTCCCCTTTAACGCGCTGGAGGCCTTGGCAGCGCACGGCCGCATGGACTTCACCAAGGAGTCAAGATGGCCCTCCAGGCACGCGCTGGAGAGGCCGCCTTGAGCGCGCCGTGCGAAATGGGCCCTGGCTTTTCTCCTCTTACCAGGCGAGGCACAGGGCCTCCTTCCTGCTTGCGGAGGCGGCCGGTTGACGCAAACACCAGAAGCCGTCAACTAAACTGGCTGATGGTCTGGCGAGCGCCTCGGAAAACGGCAGCGCCTCGATAGATTGTCGAACTTGGTCCGCGCTGCGCTCCTGCGCCCCGAAAGAGTCGCTGCCCCCCAGAACCGGGAAGCGCTTCTTGCTGGAGCACGCCCGGCGCAGCGCTGGCGACAAGGACTTCGAGTGCTGGGAACTGGGGCTGACGAGGTTCATGATTGTTAGATGCCGTGCACGTCAGTCATTAGAAAGTCCGTGCTTTTCTCCCTCGGTGGACGAAACGAAATGGTTGCAAGTTGCTCCTGCCGCGTACGGCCGCGGACATTGGGGCGCCCCTCGACAAAACGCCCCCCGCCCCTAAATTTTCAAATGGTTGGCATCGGCGAGAACCCCAAGATCCGGGAGACAGAATATGCAAAGTCAACATTGAGAATACGGGGGAAGGGAGCTCCTCGGATAATCGAATGGAAATGAATCAAAATTGTCATCTTGTTTCTCGGAACGATCATATAACTTGCAATATTTTGTCCGCCCACTGCGTTTGTCATCCCCCTGCAGGGTGAAGGCTGACGCGGAGGGCGGGGGACTCGGAGAACTGGGGGAAGGATGATGGCGAGGATGATCAAGGGTACAGGGTCGACGTTCGGTCGAACGTCGACTGCCGAGCTTCGAACAGGGTGCGAGCCGGAGCCGGGCCGAGCCGCCACTGGACCGAAGGGTTCACGCCTCGCTGACGTCTGAGCTGGACCCAGCTGGTTCGAGTTGGGCTGACCTGGGCGCACCTGCGCAGGGCTGACCTGGACGGGACTGCAATATATTGAGCTCGGGTGAATTGGCCGCGCAAGACCTGAGCTGGGCCTGCGCTGTGCTGCCCTCCGTGCGCAAGCAAAACATACAATATAATTGGGCTTCGCCTTCGCCCGCGAGCACGCCGAGCCCCGCGTCGCGCCTGGCCCGCCCAGGAGGGGGCCGAGATTTACGAGGACATGCGCCGGCCCCAGCTGTGATAGGGGGGGGGGGGGCGATCGCATCGCCAGGCGCACCCTTGGCTGCGCTGGGCACTGCCCAGGCTTTGTGCCGAACGTCGCCCGGTGCTGGCACGCGGCCGAGCAGCGGGGCAGGGCGCGCCAGGCGACGACGGGGTGGCGGGGCGCGCGCGGCGCCTGCATCTGGCCTATTTGAATACTCCCAGTACATTGGAATACTATTTGAATACCTATTTGAATACCTATTTGAATACCTATTTGAAAACCTCAGTTATATGGGGGGAACCGATTTGAAACTTGAAAATAGAAAGAAAGAAAATACATTCTTTTTAACTCTACTATTCGCGCGGAGCAAATGCAAATCCCCATATAACTGCAGTTTTCATATAGGTATTCAAATACGTATTCAAATAGGTATTCAAATAGCACTGGAGTTTTCAAATGAGGCAAATGCAAGCGCGGCGGGCGCGGGGCCGCCCTGTCGCCGCCCGCTGCTCTGAGCAGGCCACGCGACAGCATCGCCCAGGCAGAGCCTGCCGCGCCGAGCCCGCGCAAGTCCGCCGCGCGGCCCAGGGGCGGCCGCTCGCGCTCCAGGCGCAGCCCGAGCGCGGCCCTGGCGCCGGCCTGGAAATAGCTGACAGGAGGTCAACGTCACTCCGCACCAACTCACGCCCGTCGGGCGCCCACCGCGGATGAGCCGACAGGCCTCGGCTGAGCACGCCAGCGCTTAGATGGGCAAAAGGGCCCTGCGACAGGATGTTTACTCCGGGAAGGCCATTGCGAGCGCGCGTCAAAATCGGCTGCCAGTCGGGAAAAATACAACTCAAGAACTTACACTCAAACGGCTGGTGGGCGGCTGGCCCGAAGTCCCAGCGCCCCACCGCGGCGACTGGGCATGAACTTCGCATGTTCCCCGTGTCCTCGGCGGCGGGCCGCCAGCGGAAGGCCGCGTGTTCGCGGCGTCGGCAGCCGCACGGGGCGCGCAGGGCATCGCTCCTCGAAGTCCTTCCCCTTTCCGCGCTGGAGGGCCTTGCAGCGCCGGCCCATGGACTTCACCAGAGGAGTCGAGATGGCCTCGGGCACGCGCTGGAGAGCCCGCCTGAGGCGCGCCGCGAAATGGGCCCTGGCTTTCCTCTTACCAGGCGAGCACGAGGGCCTCCTGCTTGCTTGCGGAGGCGGCGTTGACGCAACCCTAAGCCGCAACTAAACGGCTGATGTCTGGCGAGCGCTCGGAAAAGCAGCGCCTCGAGGGATTGTCGAACTTGTGTCTGTGCCTGCGCTCCTGCGCCCGAAGGGGAGTCGCTGCCCCCCCAAAACCGGGAGCCGCTTCTTGCGGGGTACGCCCGGCCAAAGCGCTAGCGACAAGGACGTTCGAAGTGCTGGGAACTGGGTCTGACGAGGTGCTGATTGCTAAGATGCCGTGCACTTCGAGGCATAGAAAAGTCCTGTGCTTCCATCGGTGGGACGACGAAATGTTGCAAGTTGCTCCTGGCCGCGCACGGCCGCGCCGACATTGCGACGCCACCTCGACAAAACGCCCCCGCCCCCTAAATTTCAATGTTGGCATCGGGCGAGAACCCCAAGTCCGGGAGGACAGAATAATGCAAGTCAACATTGAAATACGGGGGAAGGGGAGCCCCTCGGATATCGATGGAATATGATCAAAATTGTCATCTTGTTTCTCGGAACGATCATATAACTTGCGATATTTTGTCCGCCCACTGCGTTTGTCATCCCCCTGCAGGGTGAAGGCTGACGCGGAGGGCGGGGGACTCGGAGAACTGGGGGAAGGATGATGGCGAGGATGATCAAGGGTACAGGGTCGACGTTCGGTCGAAGGTCGACTGCCGAGCTTCGAAACTTGGTGTGGAGCTGGAAGCCGGCCGAGCCGCCAACCGCGAGCCGCCACTGGACCTAAGGGTTCACGCCTCGCTTATGTCTGAGCTGGACCCAGCTGGTTCGAGTTGGGCTGACCTGGGCGCACCTACGCAGGGCTGACCTGGACGGGACTGCAATATATTGAGCTCGGGTGGATTGGGCCGCGCAGACCTGAGCTGGGCTGCGCTGGGCTGCCTCCGCTGCGCAAGTGAACAGAACAATATATTGGGCTTCGCCTTCGCCCGGCGAGCAGCGCCGAGCCCGCGTCGCGCCTGGCCCGCGCCAGGCCGATCGTGGGCCGCGACGAGGACATGCGCGGCCCTCGCTGCGATCGCATCGCCAGGCGCACCCTTGGCTGCGCTGTCACTGCCCAAGCTCTGTGCCGAAACGTCGCCCGTTGCTGGCACGCGGCCGCGCAGCGGGGCAGGGCGCGCCAGGCGACGACGGGGTGGCGGGGCGCGCGCGGCGCCTGCATCTGGCCTATTTGAATACTCCCAGTACATTGGAATACTATTTGAATACCTATTTGAATACCGATTTGAAAACTTCAGCTATATGGGGGGAACCGATTTGAAACTTGAAAATAGAATGAAAGAAAATACATTCTTTTTAACTCTACTATTCGCGCGTAGCAAATGCAAATCCCGATATAACTGCAGTTTCATATAGGTATTCAAATAGGTATTCAAATAGGTATTCAAATAGCACTGGAGTTTTCAAATGAGGCAAATGCAAGCGCGGCGGGCGCGGGGCCGCCCTGTCGCCGCCCGCTGCTCTGAGCAGGCCACGCGCCAGCATCGCCCAGGCAGAGCCTGCCGCGCCGAGCCCGCGCAAGTCCGCCGCGCGGCCCAGGGGCGGCCGCTCGCGCTCCAGGCGCAGCCCGAGCGCGGCCCTGGCGCCG